ACCACCACCACCACCTCCTCCCCCCCTCTCCCCCGAGGCCGGCCGTTCGGTCCCGGCGACGGTTCCGCCACTCGCGGCCTTCACATCGGGCGTTGCTGGAAGTGATCCTGCCCCAAAACGCGTCCCCAGCTTTTCGCGCCCTGTTGGGGCCGATGGGGCCCTCCAGGCATGGTGCAGGGTGCTCTGGAGGCCATCTGGGCCTCCGCGGAAATCCTAGGGGCACCTCGGGCCAGGGACACCTTTGGCAACATCCAGCTTCGGCGATCTAGCTCCCATCCTGAAAGCAGCAACAGGCTAAGTTTGAGAACTGCAGGAACCCTTCATTACTACAAGGTCGGAGGTTCGCCACGTGCCGTCTTACACTGCACTGGAACGAGAAGGAGAGGGAGAGAGAGAGAGAGAACAAACAAAAAACGAGAGAGAAAGAGAAAGACAGGAATCCGCCGACCCTGTCGGCGTCTGTGAGGGGCTTCTCCGATCGAGTCGTCGCCGCCGCTGCTCGTGAACCGTTGGCGCCGTCGTCCTCTTTCCCTGCCCTCGCCTCCCCGTGCCCGCCGCCGCCCCAACCGCTCTCCGTGCCCGGGCCCTCCTCCGCGGGCGCGCCGGCCCAAGTGCGAGAAACGTCGTGGTAGACTCGAAGGGAAGCCACTTCCCTTCTTTCTAAAATAATCAACCCCCTTCCCATTGATCCCTTTGATCCCTTTGATCAGGGGGAATGGAAGGGAAGCCCCTTCCCATCCCTCTGATCCAATTCGAAGGAAAGGGGTCAAAAGGAAGGGAAGCCCCTTCCCTTTGATCCATTCCCTGGGGGGGGGGGTCTCGGGGGGGGGGGGGGGTCCTGGGGGGGTTCCCGGGTCAGATACGACTCCCCCCGCGGGGTGTCCTGGAGCCCAGAGAGCCCAAGACGAGCCAGGAGTGCCCAACGAGGCCCCCAACACGGTCCAAGAGGGCTTCGAATCGCCGAACGATCTGTCCAAGACGCCTTCACGGCCTCCAGACGGCCCATGAGTCCTGCAAGACTTCCCAAGAAGCCTCCAGGAGCATTACCAAGAGGGCCCCAAAAGAAAACTCATTGATTCCCTAAAGATTTATGAAGCATTTCGGCGTTCTCGCCTCTTCCAACTCCAGACGCTCCCAGACGTCCCAAGAGGCCTCAGATCCTTCCAAGACAGTCGAAGAGGCCTCCAGGAGAGACCCCAACCGGCCCAAGAAAGTCCCCAGACGGCCCAAGACGCCTCCAAAACAGCCCACGAGGCCCCCCAGACGGCTCCAAGAGCATGCCCAGATGAGAAACCAGAACGGACATTTCGTGCCCTCGGCCCCGAGAGGCTCCCAAGAGGGAGGGTGCGCCGCTGGATCTCCCCAAGGGAGGGAGGGGGGACCCCCCCCCCCCTTGAAGGGGGGATGGGGGGGGGGGGTTCTGGACCCCCCCACCCCACCCCTTTAGTGTATTCAGGGAGATCCACTGGCGCACTTTCCCCAAGAGGCCCAAGAGACTCCCAGGACGCCCCCAGTTCCCCAGGAATCCCAAAGCTCTCTGGAGGCGCCTAAAGGGTCCTCCTGCTCCTCCTCCTCCTCCTCCTCCTCGTCGTCGTTGTCGTCGTCATATTCAGGGTCAGCGGCACTGGCTGTAAGGCTTTCTCAAAGGGAGGGAGGGAGAGAGAGAGAGAGAGAGAGCGAGAGAAACATGGATTAAAGAGAGAGAGAGAGAGAGAGAACGAGAGAGAGAGAGAGGGAGAGAGAGAGAAAGAGGAACCAACAAAGAAAAAAAAACAGAGGGAGAGAGAGAGAGAGAGATATGGAGAAAGAAACAGAAAAAGAACAAGTGTGAGAGAGAGGCACAACAAAAGAAGACACACGAGAGAGAGAGAGAGCTCTCAGAGAAGGAGAAGGAGGGATAAGGAGGTGGACGCTGCTACGACACAAAATGCGAATCTGCTAAAATACACGTTTTCCTCCGGGAATGGGACGATGTTTGCCTCTTTTGGGGCTCCCCTGAAGGCCTCTCGACATGTCTTTGGGGCCTCTTGAGCCGTCTTGGGGGACCTCTCGGGCCGTCTTGAGGCCGTCTTGCGCTGCCCTGGGGCCCTCCTGCGCCTCTCCGACCACTTCTCTGATCGCGTCGAGCTCGCTGGCGAGGCGCGGCAGGGCGCCCTGGGAGGCGCGGCAGGGCTGGGGGGCCTTTTTTTTCCAAGGGCGTCCAGGGGGCCCCAAAGTTCTGGATCCAGGGGGTCCCGTTGTGGGGGGGGATGGTTCTTCACGCCTCCCAGGCTTTGGACACGTTTTAGGAAGAAGCCACTCGATGTGTGTAGATGTATACGATATGTAAACATACGTGTAATAACATACATGTGTATATGTATACATATGCATGCATGCATGCATGCATACGTATGTACATAATTACATACAGGTAGGCAGACAGGCAGACAGGCAGACAGGCAGACAGGCAGACAGGCAGACAGGCAGACAGACAGACAGACAGACAGACAGACAGAAACACAGACAGACAAACAGACAGACAGACAGAAAGACAGACAGACAGACAGACAGACAGACTGACAGACAGACAGACAGACAAACATGCACACATATCCGCTTGACCCTCCGGGGGCGCAATGCTGCGAAGGTGTGCGCGGTCTGCTGTCATGTGTTATGCGTTGTCATTTGTTATTTGGCCTTTTGTAACTCCAGTCCTGCTTCCTGCCTCCTGAGGACTGTCTGACACGGCGCCCCGCCGCGCCACCAAACAGCCAACGGGGGGGGAACCTCAAATATAGGCTGCTCCGGACCACCCCAAGGTCTCATGGTGACACCACCGCGCGGCCAGAACGGCCCGAGAGACCTCCAAGATTGCCCGAAGAGGCTCCGAAGAGAGCCTCAGGAGGCCAAGACGCCCCAACATGGCCCCAACACGATGGCCCCAAGACGGCCAAGATGCTCCCAAGACGGCCCAAAAGGCCTCCCAAGAGGGCCCCACGAAACAACAATCAACGATTTGCCTTACGTTTTTTGACGGTTTTAGGCCTTTTCGCTGTTTCGACTTTCCGACGCTCCGAGACGGACCAAGAGGTTCCCAAGATCGCCCCGCGACGGCCGTAGAAGCCCCCATGACGGTCCAAGAGGCCTCCAAGACGGCCCCAAGACGGTCCAAGAGGCGCCCCAGACGGCCAAAAGGACCCTAAAACGGTCCCAAGAGAGGCCCAAGAGGGAGCCCACGGACCGAAAACTCAGCCTTTCCGCCCCGAGAGGGCCCCAGGAGGCCCCAAGAAGGTCCCATGAGGCCCCAAAAGGCCCCCAAGAGGCCCCCAAGAGGTCTCATGTTTGTTGCTCCCAGAGAGGCCCCGTTGGGTCCCAACGGTGGCCCCCCACACCGCATCGGCCATGCGGCGCTCAGCCCACCAAGGAGACCCCCAAGAACCCCCAAATCTTGTTTCCGAGAGGCCCCAAGGAGACCCCCAGGACGCGCCAAGGAGACCCCCAAGATGACCCCAAGAGGCACCAAGGAGACCCCCAAGAGGCCCCAAGCATACCCCCGCGCAGCCGCCTGCACTAGTCATAGGGGGATCAGCGGCAGAGGGCAAAGCCCTTGAGCTATATATATATATATATATAACCACACACCTACACGCATCCATACAAACATACATACATGCATACATACATAAACACATACACACACAATCATACATACATACACACATGCATGGACATATGCATACATACGTGCATGCGCACACACATACATGTACACATACATACATGCATACATGTAGAACGTCACACGCACATACATACATACATCTACACATGCATGCATATGCAGCTATATACACATACATGCATGCATGCATGCATACATACACATATGCACACATACATACATGCACGCACGCGTGCACACATACACACATTGACGCTGATTTCGTTGAGAATGTCGGTCATATGCTGGGTGATGTCCTTCTCTGGGATCTCCGACTCCAGTCCACCGAAGATCACCTGTAAGTCCCTGTCGCTATCCTTGTAGATCATGGTGGAAGCTTTCTTCGTGATGGTGCTCCGTAGCTCGTTCGTGTCCTCATTGTTTTGGGTGATCGTTTTGTTGATGTCGTCAACTTGCCCTTGTAGCTGCGCTGCTGCTTCCATTGCTGAAATCGCCGTGGTGGATGCTAGATTTGCGGTGTCGCGGATATCGTTGATGTCAGTCGAGTGCAGGCGCACCATCTTGTAGAGATCAACGAGGATCTCCCTGTCCGACATCTTGGAGAGGTCGGGGTCGTTGCCCTTCTTGTGCTTGCCCCCCGGCCCTGTAGCCCGGTATATATATATATATATATATATATATATATAATACATGGGAGGTTGGGGGGTGAGTGCGAGGTGAAACGGAGACCCCCCCTACCAAGAAATCGATTTCGGTTCCGGGTTCGTGTCGTGCGTGCCGTGCGTGCGGGCGAGGCGAAGCTGCGTGGGCGCGAGAGGAAATCCTCCTGGCTGGGCCGCGGCCGGACCAAATGTTCTTTCGGCGGCCGGTGGCCCGCGGTGTCCCGCTGGTGTCCCGAAATCCTCCTGTGGCTGGGCCGCGACCGGACCAAATGTTTCTCCCGCGGTGTCCCGCCAGTGTCCCGCTGGCTGGGTAGTCGAAGCCAATCTGGCGCCAATCTGGCAGGCCCAATCTGGCAAACGGGGGCAATCTGGCGAGGGAGCCAACGCGAATCCAGTCTGGCGAATAACCCAAATCATCCAGTTTGGCCGGGCCAGATTGGCCCTGGGGGCTCAATCCAATCTGACAGTCTGGCCTTCGACTACCCAGGCTGGTGTCTCGAAATCCTCCTGGGACAGCGCTTCACGACAATGTCGAGTGCGCTTCGCCGACATCGCCACATCACATCACGCTCACGTGCACAATCACACTACTCACTAGACTCCGCCCCACAGGCATCGTCAGAACAACAATCACCACTGTTCCCCATTGCTGCCCCCCCCCAACTTCCTCATCACCCGCAGGATGGTCGTATAGGTAGATATACACTGGTAGAGACGTATCGCTTGGCGCATACCCGCCTGGTAAGTAATCCAAGGGTGCGCACACAAAGCGTAGCGAAATTCCTCGCTGCCCCTGGAGTGAAAAGAGTGAACAACAGGACATGACATTGATATTTTCCGACGGAGACGCATCAGCCTGGCGCGCACTTATCTGGTCGATTGTCCAAGGATGTGCGCGCAAGGTGGAGAGGCCAGCTCTTGGAAGTGAAGAAATGCATCAAATTCACTTGGCTGGCCGCAGGCGGACCACCTGCAAGCTAGCAGTGCAGCCTGACGCGCCTTGGCGCGAGCGGCACACATACTGAGGCGCGAGCGACACACATACTAGCCTGATGATACAGGCTCCGCGTCGTGCTAAACACGGTGCGCCGACTCGTGCTCATCGATCTCCGCGCCCTGCTCCGACTAGTTGACCTCAACCTCCGCGTTGTGAATGCCGCGCTGGGGTGTTGGGCCCCTGCCGCGGCCAAGACACTCGAGCCCCACCAGGCAGCCCAGCGCGACGCCGCAGACCAAGAACAAGATCAACAAGAAGAAGATCAAGACACCAGCGAAGACTGCAATTAATCCCCATGGCTCGGTGGTGGCTGTGGTGTTTGACGTGTCCGAACTCGTGCTCGTATCGGTGGTCGTCGTGGCCGTCTTGATGGTGATGGTAGTAGTGCTTGACGTCGCGGAACGCGTGCCCGTATCGGCGGTCGTCGTGGCCGTCTTGGTGGTCGTCGCGGTGGTCGTCTCAGTTGTTGCCTCGGTGAAGTCGAGCACGTACGCGGAGCCGGAACTGTCGCCCTGGTCGTCGTCACCATAGGCCCCCACCACCACGCGGGCCCCGTCGGAGCTCACGGCCACCGAGGAACCGAAAAAGTCGTAGGCGGCCCCATCACTCGCCACAAGCTTCAGCAGCCTCTCGCCGGTGGCCCCGTCGAGCACGTACACGGAGCCGGAACCGGAGCCCTGGTCGTCGTCACCTCTGGCCCCCACCACCACGCGGGCCCCGTCGGAGCTCACGGCCACCGAGGAACCGAACAAGTCGTCTGCAGTCCCATCACTCGCCACAAGCTTCAGCAGCCTCTCGCCGGTGGCCCCGTCGAGCACGTACACGGAGCCTGAATTGTAGCCCTGGTCGCCGTCACCACAGGCCCCCACCACCACGCGGGCCCCGTCGGAGCTCACGGCCACCGAGGAACCGAATTTGTCGAAGGCGGCCCCATCACTCGCCACAAGCTTCAGCAGCGTCACGCCGGTGGCCCCGTCGAGCACGTACACGGAGCCGGAACTGGAGCCCTGGTCGCCGTCACCATAGGCCCCCACCACCACGCGGGCCCCGTCGGAGCTCACGGCCACCGAGGAACCGAAAAAGTCGAAGTTGGCCCCATCACTCGCCACAAGCTTCAGCAGCGTCACGCCGGTGGCCCCGTCGAGCACGTACACGGAGCCGGAATTGGTGCCCTGGTCGTCGTCACCTATGGCCCCCACCACCACGCGGGCCCCGTCGGAGCTCACGGCCACCGACTCACCGAACCAGTCGTCTGCAGCCCCATCACTCGCCACAAGCTTCAGCAGCGTCTCGCCGGTGGCCCCGTCGAGCACGTACACGGAGCCGGACTTGTAGCCCTGGTCGTCGTCATATCTGCTCCCCACCACCACCCCGGGCCCGTTTGGAGCTCACGGCCACCGAGTAACCGAACATGTCGATTGCAGCCCCATCACTCGCCACAAACTTCAGCAGCGTCTCGCCAGTGGCCCCGTCGAGCACGTACACGGAGCCATGAATATTTGACGTATAGTCTTCGTAGTAGTAGTAAACGGCCCCCACCACCACGCGGGCCCCGTCGGAGCTCACGGCCACAGACATTCCGAACCGGTCGTTGGCGACCCCATCACCCGCCATGAGTTTGAGCAACTGCACGCCGCTGGTAGACAGGCGCCTCCCGAACTCGGCCTGCGGCTCGCGAGGGCGACCGCTCGCCGAGCCCTCCACCCTCGGGCGGGCCAGCGTCCCGCTCGCCGGCGACCCGGCGCTCGGGGCGCCGCGCGCTGCCAGCAGCAAGAGCAGCGCGCCGACGCTGTGAGACGTGCGCAGGCGCATCATGCCGTCTGCAGATGTGCAGCGCTGAGCGGAACGAGAGACGCCAGAGGGGAGCCCTGGGAGGCCGGCGACGGCCCCTCGAAACCTTGAGCCAAAATTGCGACCAGCCCCGATGGCTTGCCCAAGACATTCCTTGTTCGGATTCACCGTCATCATATGGTTACAGCATCATCATTGCTCTTCTCTTTTACACTGGAATTCCTTGGTGATGCTTTCCGAAGGATTCCTTGTGTGAGGCTTTAAAATATAATCCCTTCGTGGTGCTTTCCAAAGGATTTTTTTTGCGAGGCTTTCCAATATAATATTTTCGTGGTGCTTTCCAAAGGATACCTGCTGTGAGGCTTTCCAATAGAATCCCTTTGTTGCGCTTTCCAAAGGATTCCTTTTGTGAGGTTGTCCAATAGGATCCTTTTGTAGTGCTTTCCAAAGGATTCCCTTTATGAGGCTTTCCAGTATAATCATTTTGTGATGCAGAGGAGGCGGAGGGGCAGGAGGCGGAGGAGGACGGGGAGGAGGAGAAGAGAGATCTATATATATATATATATACAAGTGGCACGTGTGTGCCCAGGCTCATACAACAAGCTGAAGGGGCGTTTGAAGCAGGAGTGACATGCAACAGCGAAATCGCACTCGAGCGCAAGTGGGGTTGCCACACCTTGCGATGTGTGTACCAGGGCCCCCCAGGAAGCCTCAGGAGGCCCGACTTGGATACCAGAAGAGGCTCCAGGAGGCCCCAGGATTGTGAGTGTTGTGTGTGTGTGATGTGTGCTTTGTGTGGTGCGTGCTTTTTGCGTGTTGTCGGTGTTGTGTGTGTATGTTATGTTTGTCTAGCGTGTGATGTGTTGGGCGTGATTTGTGTCTCTGTGTGTGCATGTAGTTCTGAAGCCCCAGGAGGCCCCAGGAGGCCCCAGGCGGCCTCAGCAGGCCCAGGAGAACTCCAGGAGGCTCCGAGGCGGGGTCTGGGGTACCAGAAGGTCCAGAAAGCCCCAGGAGGCCCCAGGAGGTTCCAGGAGGCCCCCAGGAGGCTCCGAGGAGGGGTCTGGGGCTCGATTTTGGGAGGATGTCTCAGGCGAAACCGCCATTCTCTGAGAATCGGAGTCAAAATCATTGAAATTACCATGTGTTTTTGAAGGTTTTATGATAAAATGTTGGAAATCCTATGTGTTTTTGGACCCTGACGTCACGATCTGCGTGAGGGGTGCCACCGATTTTCAGAATTTCGAGGATGTCCCGAGCGAAACGGCCAGAAAAATCGCGAACGACGGACGCATTAATCGCCTCTGAGCTCTACTCCCTCGGAGAGGTGCGTATGAGAATATATATATATATATATATATATACACATATATATAGACATATAGATATAGGTATATTTATAGAGAGAGAGAGAAAGAGAGAGAGAGAGAGAGCGAGAGAGAGAGAGAGAGAGAGAGAACGAAGAAGAGTGGAGGAGGATGAAGACGAGGAGGAGATATATATGATCATGCGGGTGGGGGGGTAGATCCCCCCCCCACATGATCATACATATCTCCTCTTCCTCCTCCTCCGCATCCTCCTCCGTTCTTCTTCGTTCTCTCTCTCTCTCTCTCTCGCTTTTGCTCGCTCTCTCTCTCTCTCTTTCTCTCTCTCTCTCTCTTCTCTTTGTCCTCCTCCTCAAAGAATCCTTTGGAAAGCACCACAAGTGGTTTCGATTGGAAAGCCCCATAAAAAAGGGAATCCTTTAGAAAATACTACAAGGGGATTCGATTGGAAAGCCTCAAAGTAGGAATCCTTTGGAAAGCACCGCAAGGGGATTCTATTGGAAAGCCTCACAAAAAAAAGGAATCCCGTGGAAAGCACACAAAAGGATTCGATTGGAAAGCCTCACAAAAAAATGAATTCTTTGGAAAGCACAGCAAAAAGATTCGATTGGAAAACCTCACAAAAGGAAATCCTTTGGAAAGCACAACAAAGGAATTAGATTGGAAAGCCTCGCAAAAAGGGAATCCTTTAGAAAGCACCACACAAGAGATTTGATTGGAAAGCCTGACAAAGGGATTCGATTGGAAAGCCTCACATAAGGAATCCTTTGGAAAGCACCGCAGAGGGATCCGATTGGAAAGCCTCACAAAAGGAATCCGTTGGAAAACACAACAAAGGGATTGTATTGGAAAGCCTCGCAAAAAAAAAAGGAATCCTTTGGAAAGCACAACAAAGGGATCCGATTGGAAAGCCTCACAAAAGGAATCCTTTGGAAAGCGCCACAAAGGGAATCGATTGGAAAGCCCCACAAAAAAATACCCTGTGACGTACCCAACCCATTTGTATCATGGGAAGCGAGGAATTGGCCGAAACTTGCATGGACAATCAAATTGCAGGATCCGTTGTTTGATATGTAAACTACTTGGGACACGCGCCTATGGCATGATGCGCAAGAGAACCATGCAAGAACGAGGGGCGACACCTACAGGCTCGAAGAGGACATGGGGAGTCGGGAACGAAGAGCTGGAGAAAGACGTGCGGGAAGCCCACTGTGCTGGGCCCCCCAGCAGGCTTCGAAAGTGGCGACAGTTTCACAGATCGCAGCCCCCCAGGGATGGCGAGGTCTAATTTCAGTCCGCGGTGTGTACTCTGTGCTGGGCCCCCCAGCAGGCCTCGAAAGTGGCGACGGTTTCACAGATCGCAGCCCCCCAAGGATGGCGAGGTCTAGTTTGAGTCTGCGGTGGGTACCCACTGTGCTGGGCCCCCCAGCAGGCCTCGAAAGTGGCGACCATTTCACAGATCGCAGCCCCCCAGGGATGGCGAGGTCACATTTGAACCCGCCGTGGGTACCCACTGTGCTGGGCCCCCCAGCAGGCCTCGAAAGTGGCGACAGTTCCACAGATCGCAGCCCCCCAGGGATGGCAAGGTCTAATCTGAACCCGCGGGGTGTACCCACTGTGCTGGCCCCCCCAGCAGGCCTCGAAAGTGGCGACAGTTTCACAGATCGCAGCCCCCCAGGGATGGCGAGGTCTAATTTGAACCCGCCGTGTGTACCCACTGCGCTGGGCCCCCCAGCAGGCCTCGAAAGTGGCGACAGTTTCACAGATCGCAGCCCCCCAGGGATGGCGAGGTCTAATTGGAGTCCGCGGTGTGTACCCACTGTGCTGGGCCCCCCCAGCAGGCCTCGAAAGTGGCGACGTTCACAGATCGCAGCCCCCCCAGGGATGGCGAGGTCAATTTGAACCCGCCGTGTGTACCCACTGCGCTGGGCCCCCCAGCAGGCCTCGAAAGTGGCGACAGTTTCACAGATCGCAGCCCCCCAAGGATGGCGAGGTCTAATTGGAGTCCGCGGTGTGTACCCACTGTGATGGGCCCCCCAGCAGGCCTCGAAAGTGGCGACAGTTTCACAGATCGCAGCCCCCCAGGGATGGCGAGGTCTAATTTCAGTCCGCGGTGTGTACATTGTGCTGGGCTCCCCAGCAGGTCTCGAAAGTGGCGACAGTTTCACAGATCGCAGCCCCCCAGGGATGGCGCGGTCTAGTTTCAGTCAGCGGTGGGTACCCACTGTGTTGAGCCCCCAAGCAGGCCTCGAAAGTAAGGACAGTTTCGCAGATCGCGGCCCCCCATGGATGGCGAGGTTTAATTTCAGTCCGCGGTGTGTACCCACTGTGCTGGGCCCCCCAGCAGGCCCCGAACGCAACGACAGTTTCACCGATCGCAGCCCCCCAGGGATGGCGAGGTCACATTTGAATCCGCCGTGGGTACCCACTGTGCTGGGCCCCCCAGCAGGCCTCGAAAGTGGCGACCGTTTCACAGATCGCAGCCCCCCAAGGATGGCGAGGTCCAATTTGAATCCGCCGTGTGTACCCACTGTGCTGGGCCCCCCAGCAGGCCTCGAAAGTGGCGACAGTTTCACAAATCGCAGCACCCCAAGGATGGCGAGGTCACATACTTTTGAATCCGCCGTGGGTACCCACTGAGCTGCCCCCCCCCCCCACCCCCCCCCCCAGCAGGCCTCGAAAGTGCGACAGTATCGCAGAACGCAACCCCCCCAGGGATGGCGAGGTTTAATTTGAATCCGCGGTGTGTACCCACTGTGCTGGGCCCCCCCCCCAGCAGGCCTCGAAAGTGGCGACAGTTTCACAGATCGCAGCCCCCCAGGGACGGCGAGGTCTAATTTGAATCCGTCGTGTGTACCAGAGTGCTGGGCCCCCCAGCAAGTTCTCGAAAGTGGTGACAGTTTCACAGATCGCAGCCCCCCAGGGATGGCGAGGTCTAATTTGAATCCGCCGTGTGTGCCCACTGTGCTGGGCCCCCCAGCAGGCCTCGAAAGTGGCGACAGTTTCACAGATCGCAGCCCCCCAGGGATGGCGAGGTCACATTTGAATCCGCGGTGACTACCCACTGTGCTGGGCCCCCCAGCAGGCCTGGAAAGTGGCGACAGTTTCACAGATCGCAGTCCCCCAGGGATGGCGAGGTCTAATTTGAGTCTGCGGTGGGCACCCACTGTGCTGGGCCCCCCAGCAGACCTCGAAAGTGGCGACAGTTTCACAGATCGCAGCCCCCCAGGGATGGCGAGGTCACATTTGAATCCGCCGTGGGTGCCCACTGTGCTGGGCACCCCAGCAGGCCCCCCGAACGGTGGCGACAGTTTTTACAGATCGCAGCCCCACCAAGGATGGCGAGGTCAAATTTGAATCCGCCGTGGGTGCCCACTGTGCTGGCCCCCAGCAGCCCTCGAACGTGGCGACAGTTTCACAATCGCAGCCCCCCAGGGATGGCGAGGTCTAATTGGAATCCGCAGTGGGACCCCCTGTGCTGCCCCTCAGCAGCCCTCGAAAGTGGCGACAGTTTCACAGATCGCAGCCCTCCAGGGATGGCGAGGTCACATTTGAACCCGCCGTGGGTACCCACTGTGCTGGGCCCCCCAGCGGCCCTCGAAAGTGGCGACAGTTTCACAGATCGCAGCCCCCCAGGGATGGCGAGGTCCCATTTGAATCCGCCGTGGGTGCCCACTGTGCTGGGCCCCCAGCAGGCCTCGAAAGTGGCGACAGATCGCAGCCCCCCAGGGATGGCGAGGTCTAATTTGAACCCGCCGTGGGTACCCACTGTGCTGGGCCCCCCAGCAGGCCCCGAACGTGGCGACAGTTTCACAGATCGCAACCTCCCAGGGATGGCGAGGTCCAATCTGAATCCGCCGTGGGTACCCACTGTGCTGGGCCCCCCAGC